CTGTGGAGATGGTCTATGCTTTTGCTCCCCACCAGCCTGCTTCTGTGGGAGCTTCCGTGGGAGCGTGGTGGACAGCTGACCCCAGAGTTACCCTTGCCCCCGCCTGGTTCTCTGAGACCCTCCTCCGGGAGCTGGTGTGTGTTGGACTCCTGCTCGCCGCGCACCTCCTGTGTGTACAGTCAGGCACACCCCATGCGGTAGCTGGCTCCCATCTGGACACATGTGTGTCGTCTTCTGTTGAGGTTTACTCCCAGCCCACTCTCCACCCAGGAAGCTGGAGAAGGCTTTTAAGAGGTGCCTCCCCTATCGAAAATATTTCTGTTGAAAACCCATCTCTGTGAGCAATTCCCGGCAGGCTTTCTGATTCCAACACACACTAACTCCTTGATCCTTCCTTCTTTCTCTCTGGCCTTCTTCAGGTGGGCCTTCTGGACATGCTAGATTGTATCCCTTGGTGTCTGATTTTCTTTACCTTGTGGCTCTGGCTTGTGTGTGACGTAGCCTGGGGCTCTAACTTTAGAAGGGCTCTTGTTCGGGTAGTGGGACAAGCCAGAGCAGTCCAAGACAGCGTGGACGCTTCTAGAGCTGGCCCATTGGCTATCTGCCTGGAGCTTCGGGAAGCCTTTCTGGTCATGATGGTCTCTGGGGGGTGGGCAGGTGGGGCCGTCACATCCTGGCAGATGTTGCTGTTAAACCGCAGCGGAGCACGCTGGGGAGGCATCTCATGTTGACACAGAAGTGCTTTCCCCAGAGTGTCCCTGCAGACCCCTGGCGCCCACTGATGGAGACACAGAACCCAGAGACCCTGCCCTGACCCACTGTCTGATCCCCCTTCTCACAGACCAGGCTTCATTTTGCCTCCTAAACCTCCTCCCCCTTTTCCTGTGACCTCCTTTACCCCATCATGCATTAGTGTCTAAATGTGGCCAACTCACTCCCCTCTCAAAAGAAAGACATGAGCTGCTGTGACCCACATCTAGCCTCTGCCGCCTCCTGGGCTGTCAGCCATTCAGAAGGAAGGTTCATAGGAGAATAATCACAACCTTCTCCACTTTCTCTCTTCCATTTAGTCGAGCTTTTCCCTATCTGGATCCTGCCCTTGCTCAGGCCTCTTCTAGTATAGGGCTCTAGGGCATCTTTTCTATGTTCAGGGAATAAAAACAACAACAAAAAAAACCCCACAGGACTGAGGGTGTGACTTAGTAATAGAGTGTTTGCCAGGCTGCTGGAGGCCCTGGCTCCCATCCCCAGCACCCCCAAAACACAGAAGCACACAGTCACACAACTGTGCCTGAACCTACCCAGAGGACTGAGGCAGAACTGATGAAGCCCAGACATCAGTGACTTCCCACCACTACCCCAGCATCCTGAAGGGTTTCTACAGCCTGAGTTCTTAGACTCAGGGGCATCATTGTGTCCTCCTCGCCTTGACCTCTGGCAGGGCCTGCTGCATGAGATTCCTGTGGCAGCTGTCACAGGTGACCACATGCTAAGTGTCTTTAAAGCCACAAACCCCCCTGGCCTCCATTCCCAGCACTGAAAAGACAAAGGTGGTGACATCTCCCTGCCCCCAGCCCACGCGCTACAGTTCTGGAGGCCAGGAGTCTAAAATCAAAGTGCCGGCAGGGCCATGCTCACCCTGAAAGTGCAGGGAATCAGCCCTTTGCTTTTCCAGCCTCTGGTAGTGTCAGGCATTCCGGGCTTATGGCCTCATGGATCCAATCTCTGCCTTTGTGGTCACATTGTTGCTTCTTGTCCTGAGTGTGAAAACTCTACTTCTGCTACTAGGACCAGAGAGTACATTCAGGGCCTGCCCAGAGAGTCCGGAATAAGCCTTCCCAAGATTGGGGAGGATTCCAGGTGTAAACATTAAGATTGTAGATGATTCCAGGTGTTAACATCTAAGATTGTAAATGATTCCAGGTGTTACCATCTAAGATTGTGGATGATTCCAGGTGTTAACATCTAAGATTGTGGATGATTCCAGGTGTTAACATTAAGATTGTGGAGGATTCCAGGTGTTACCATCTAAGATTGTGGAGGATTCCAGGTGTTACATTTAAGGTCTTAGTTACTGGTTCTAGGGCTTGAAGTGCAGGCAACTCTGGGTGCCCATGGTTGGCCTGGTATGTTCCCCCCAGGAGGTCACTGCTCTTCCTTGATAAGCCTGGTGGTCTGGTCTTTATATGCCATGTCCCCCGGTTTCCTCCTATCTCTGGCCTCTATTCTCCAGGCTCTGCCTCCCCTGCACTAAGTGCTGGCTTACGCCAGGGCCTGGTCCTAGACTCTAGCCTCCAAATCTTCTTGTGCGGCCTCTCTCAGCCTGCCTTTCTAGCTGCTTCACATCTTATGCTGGCCTCTCTGGCCCTTCGCCGCTGGGTGGTTCTGCCCTAGGGTTCCCAACCTCAGCATCTCCCTTCCTCCCATGCACCCCCATTTCCCCCCTCACAGGGCCTTTGCACATACTGCTATGGCCACCTGAAACGTTCTTCTGCCCATCTCCTCCCTTCACTTTCTCATCAGCTCCTCTGCATCCTTCAGCACTTGGTTCAGGTCTGCGGGGAGGCTGCTTGCTGCCCAGCTGAGATAGTTTGTTGCTGTCTTTCACAGTGAGGGTTTCCTGTGGGACCATCTCGGTTTATCACTATACATTTATCCACGGGTCCCTAGCTTGTCCCTTGCTGGCCTGTGCATGCCAAAGGAATAAGACAAGATTTTGTCCCTTTCGCTTGCTTCTGTAGCCCCAGCAACACGCAGGGCTTCACTATTTTTACTCAAATGAAAACTCCTAAGTGCTGGATATGGTGGCTTCGTGCCAGGAATTCTAACACTTGGCAGGCTAATGCAGGGGGATTTCAGGTTTGAGGCCTATCTCAGAGAACAATTTGAGAGATAAGGAATCAGGAAGACCATTCTTGGCTATAGAGTGAATTTGAAGCTATCCTGGGTTATATGAGACTGTTTTTTAAAACAAACAAGTGATAGAGTGCAGGATTTTAGCTATTGCTATATGCCTAGAGCTTCATGATGCACCATCCACATGGTTCATGAAGACCTAGGGGAAAGGCATACTCTTCTCCCCATTTGATGTGAGAACCCAGGGCACAGTGAAGTATCTTGCTCGCTCCGGGTGGCAAAGGAGTGAACTGAGGCTGGCTCCCACTGTGTGTGATGCCCTCCCAACTCTACCTAGCTTCTGGGTGGATAACACCCTCCTCCAGCCTAGTAAGAAAGTAGAGACTCCGAGAGGTACAGTCACTTGTTTTAGGTAACACAGCTCCATGGGCCAGAAGCTTCAGGGTTCCAGTTGGAGACTCAAAGAAACTCTTAGCCAAATGGGGAAGCCAACAGCCAGTGTGACCCCAAGCTGGGAGTAAGCTGCTCTATCTTCTCCCAGCTGGACGGCCTTAGGAGTGCTGGTCACTTTAAGGACTTGCCAACAAGATTTTGTCACCTCTGCTCCCTGTTGCTCTGGGCCTGGTTTCCTCTGCTGGAAGCAGGTTCTGTGAGAGTTTCTGGGGCTGCCCCTTGGGTCAACAGTTCCCAGATGTTCCTCCTCCCAGCCAGGTCTGCCAACCTTCTTATCTAGGTCACCAGTTTCCAAATATGGCCACACCTTGGGAAATAGCACTTCTGGGTCTCCCTTGGTCCAGGAAGTTTCCTCCATGATCTGGATCAAGAAGACGACGAAGTCCCTTAGGTCACTGGCTCCTGGCAGTTGTAAGTCTTAACAGCTTGTGGGAAACACCAACTCCCAGAGGCAGTGACTGCTTCCTTTGGGCCACACTTCTCCACAGTCACTGTCTAAAATCTTCGTCGTTGTTTTTTTTACAAGAGTGTACTATCCCACGCTGTTCAGTTAAAGCTTAGGCCCAGAGAGGCCAAACAGCTGAGATCTGCCATACAAGGGTAGAGCTAGGAGTCTAGACAGATGGACTCTCTCCAAAGCTCCTGCTTGTGGCCTTGGCTTTGTGTACAAGGTGTCATATATGGAACTGGGCAAATAAGGAAGGGATGCTCACCAAGACCCTTTCTAGAGGATTAGAAAGACTTAGTTGTCAAATATGTTGCCTGCAAAGGTAGTCTTGACCAGCACGCTATTCTTTGTGACACAGCGTGGTGTTTATATATTTTCAGTGCTAGGCTTGGAGCACAGGGCCTTGCACGTCCAAGTGTGTACTCCACCACAGAGCTGCACCCTCCACTGGAATCTGACTTGTGTTTCAGTATGCGTGTGTGTGTGTGTGTGTGTGTGTGTGTGTGTGTGTGTGTGTGTGTGTGCTTGCGTGTGGAGGCCAGAGGTGTCAGTCCTTGAGTGCCACCCACCTTATTTTTCATGACAGGTTCTCACACGGGGACCTGGGGGTGGGGCTTACCAATTAGGCTAATGGCTAGGATCCCCAGGGGTCCTCCCACCTCCACCTCCCCTGTCCTGGAATTACAAGTGTGCACCAGCACACGTTTTATGTGAGTGCCGACGGGACTCGAGTCCTCCTATTTGTGCAGCAGTACTTTATAAACCGAGCTGTCTCCCCAAACCCCAGAGCCTGATTGTTGAGGTGTCTGCAGTCGGCCCTTCCTGTTAAACTCGAGTTGGCTGATTGGCGTGGCTGAGGGCAGCAGCTCTGGTGTGGTGGTGGCTGGCTGCCACAGGGTCTGTGGTTGGCCTCACGGTTCTGATCACAAGTTTGGGAACTGGATTGGGGTTCAAATGCTGATTCTGCTGCTCCCCAGCTGTGGCTAGGGCAAGGGTTGGGTCCCTGCTTCCATTGCTTTCTATGTGACTTTGGACAAGACATTTAACCTTAGTATCCTGAGCTGTGAACCACATAGCACAAGTACTTGGGCCACCTCCCCTCCAAACACATACAGGTGAGCTCAGGCAAGAGCATCATGTAAAGGGTTTAAGAGGTATATTGACTACGTGTCCAGGAAAAGGTGGCTTCTGAAGGGGTCCTCAGGCTCTGCGATGTCTCATGTTCTTTCTCTGCCCCTTGCAGGTAGAGCTGCATGTCCACCTGGATGGATCCATCAAGCCGGAAACCATCTTATACTATGGCAAGTAAGTCCATAACAACCACGGACCCCTGGAGATTTCCAGGGCTCTGGGCATCCCTTGTGGGAGTCAAGGCAGCCCTTGATGGAAGATGGTGATGTCCTGGGTGCTTTTCACCCCAGCCTCCATAGGTTGGAGGTGAGAGGCGAGCATCCTACCTCCTGAGCTGTCAGGAAAAGTGAGCCCTTCCCTCACCAGCATCCTCACTTATTTGCTGTTAAGCACTCTGTGTATGCTGGAAGGACTCAGCTCTCCCCCACCCCCCGCGCTGTCTCCAGTGTCTAGCCTCAACTCTACCTGTGTGCCATGAGACAGCCTCCCCAGGTATTCATTTTATGCGTCTGTTTTGCCTGCAAGTAGGTATGTGTAACACATGCATGTCTGATGCCTGCCAAGGAGGCTGAAAGGCAGCAGATCTCTTGGAACTGGAGTTGTAGACGGTCTTGAGCCTTCATGTGGGTCTCGGGAAGCAACCCAAGGTCTTCTGCAAGAGCAGCAGTGAGTCCTGGCTGCAGCCCCTCACCCTCAGTTTTATTTTTAGAAAGAGAGGCATCGCCCTCCCAGCAGACACAGTGGAGGGGCTGAACAACATCATCGGCATGGACAAGCCCCTTTCGCTCCCAGGATTCCTGGCCAAGTTTGATTACTACATGCCTGCTATCGCGTGAGTTGTTCCCAATCCTTGTGGCGCAGGGCAGCACCCATCCCTGTGACCAAAGCCAGACAACTGAGCTGCTGTGGAAGGCACTCCAAACCTCCGGCCCTGCTTTTCACCATGGTGTGCACCTGAGCCAATCTCTCCCATGCCTTTGGACCCCTGATCTCTTATCCCACCCAGAGGCAGAGGAGGCTCTGCTGAAGCCCTGTGGTGGTCAGGCTATGGGATGTCTTGTGTCACTGCCCCTTAACACATGATATCCCGAGACCCATGCCACCATCACAGATCTCAGAGAAAGAGCTCTTGGCCTAGGTTAAGAAAAGACATGGGTGCAGGGCAGGGTGGGGCCTGAATCAGGTCCCCCATGCCCCGGTCTGGAGCTTTGGAGGCAGGGCCAGGTCAGGCACCAGAGTGGGAAATGAAGGTGGAGTTGGGTCTTTCTTTGATGTCCTGAGTCACTGGTTGAATTAGGAACATTACTAGTCTTTGAAAAGGTCCAGGAATTGTCGCTAAAGAGTGTCAGAGACAGGACTCAGACTCTCAAAATCTAAGCCAGCCTTCTGACCCAAATTTACCAACTTCTCTCTGTGTCGCTCAGAGCCAACGCCAAAACCCACATGCCAGGTGCACATGTCCTACAACTTTGAACCCTTGCTTTTTACAGACTCTGCTCCTATTCTCCCCTTGGGTACTAATATACCCTCAGGTCATCTGCCCTTCTTCCCTCTGCCTGGAATGCTGTTCCCTAAAAGCCCATGGTTTGCCTTCAGCACATATCTCCTGTGTCCCTTCTCAGAGAAGCCTTGCTGACCAAGTTGTGGCATACCACATTGCCTCCCGGCTTTATCTGCATCAATAGTGTTCCTGTCTGGTGGATTGTGTGTTTTCCCTTTACCTGGCTATCCTGTCAGAAGGTGACCAAAAGGCAGGGATCCCAGCTCCTGGAGTTCACTGTGCACTAAGGGTCTGGGTCTAGTATGCAGGCTCAGTACCCGTGGGGGTCTGGGGCTGGGAAAGGCAGAGAGCAAGCCCCTCCCATGGCAGAGCTGAGACCCAGCTCCCCCCTCGTCCATTGAACCTCCTCCTGGGGGTGACCCAATTCCCCAGAGTTGGGCCCCTTCTTCTCACCAAGGGCCAGTGGGGCACTTGCTTCCTTTGCCTGCTCTCCCTGATCTGGGACAAGTCCTAACTAGGACAGTCCATCAGCATTTGATCAGTGCTCACAGAGGCTCTCACAGGTCACTTTCTGACTTGCTCGTGTAGCCCACACTCCTCAGCAGCAACTAAAACACTTTTAACATCTGACAGATCACTTCTCGGCCTTTTGGCTGAGATCAAGTGTAGCATTTGTCTGCCTCCATTCAAGTGCTGGCCTAAGTGAGGTTTCTGATGTTTTGGCCATTTGTCCTTACAATAGTCCTTTGATATAGGTATCAGAGAGGGCAACTGACTAGCCCAGGATCACACAGACTATATAAGTCCATGACTGAGTATCATTTGCCCATGCCAGAGTCCCTCTGGATTCACATATCTGTGCCCCTTTATCATCCCTGCCAGCCTTATATCCACTATTCAACAAATATTTGGCCACTGTGCCCTAGACCCTTTCCTTGGATGAAGTGTCACAGCTGTGACAAGAGAGAGGAAGGGATCTTGGCCTCGTGGGAGTCAAGGGGAGATGGGAAATGGAACTTCAAAGAACCATGTGATAGCTAATGTCAAGTGGTGACCAGGGCTCGGAGAAAGGATACCCAGAGAGAAAGTGGTCTGAGGAGGCCTGGCAGAGTGCAGCATGCTGGGGCAAGCGATGAGACTGTGACCCAAGTCCTGAGGTGGGAGGGACAAGCTTGATGGTCTGTGGCCAGAGGAAGAATGTGAGGCACAAGACGTTAGGGAATCTGGTGACTGCCATTGGGGCTGGTGTGGAGTCAGATCTTTCTACACAGTTGGAAGCCATAGGGATGCTAGACACATGTTCTGTCACTGAGCCAAACCCCTAAGCCCTGGAATGTAGATGTAACCAACTGTCTTACTAAATAAGAAACACAGAACCAATGCAAAGAAGAAAGCCAAGAGGTCAGAGCTAAGAGCTAAAACCTTACCCTTCCTCCTGCGGTGGTCCTACCTCTCTGAACCAGAGCTATTTCCTGTATGTCTGTCTTTTTATAGTGTTTCTGTTCTGCCTTCTCATTGGTTGTAAACCCAACCACATGACCGCCTCATCACAGCCTGTCTGTATAGAAGACCTCCAGGTTTTCTATGATTGGTATTGAGATTAAAGGCGTGTGTATCCAATACTGGCTGTATCCCTGAACACACAGAGACTTACTTAGCTCTGCCTACCAAGTGGTGGGATTACAAACGTACACCACCACTGCCCTGCTTTCCTATGGCTTGCTAATAGCGCTGACCCCCGGGCAACTTTATTTATTAGCATACAAATAAAATAACATTTTAATACAAAAAAAAAATATCACCATACTGGTTTACTTTTCTTTCTAGATTCTTCTTTAGGGGGTGGAATCAGAGGACAACTTGCAGGAGTCTGTGCCCTGCTTCCACCCTGTGGCTCCTGGCAATCAAGCCCAGGTCTTCAGGCTTGATAGCAAGCGCCTTTTCCTGCTGAGCCATCTCACTAGCCCTCCTGGCTTCCATTTTAAATCATTCTTGCTGCTACATGGAGAATGAGGTTCAGGATAAACACGTTAGAGGCAATTCAGTCACTCAAGGGTGATGGGGTCAGAATGAGTTTGTAGGTCAGAAGTACAGATGCTAGGACCGGCCAGGTGGCTCAGATCTTCTCTGCAGGTGCCCAGGCAGGGAGGGCTTGTAAGCTGGAAAGAGGTTGGATCTAAGGAGGGTTGCAGGCACCTCGTTTGCTGCTGGAGCTCCCAAGGTGTGGAAGAAGGTTGTTGCCAACCCGTGTTTTTCCCTTCCCAGGGGCTGCAGGGAGGCCATCAAAAGGATCGCCTATGAGTTTGTGGAGATGAAGGCCAAGGAGGGTGTGGTGTATGTGGAAGTGCGCTACAGCCCACATCTGCTGGCCAACTCCAAAGTGGACCCAATCCCCTGGAACCAGACTGAGTGAGTGACAGAACCGGAGGGGCTCTGCCGAGAGTGGACTGCACTGCCCAGCCCGAGAAGGGTGGGTGGAGTGCTGAGAGTCTTGGCCTTGGCCTGGTCCTTGGACTCAGGGACTCAACTCAGCCGGAAGAGGCATGATCCCTATCTCTCCACCTGTGGTTATGCCTCAGCCCTACGTGAAGTGCTTGGCTAGCTGCCCATGCCTCTGCCTGGCTTAGCCAGTGACTTCTAGAGGCTTTGCTCAGTGAGTGAGTCTGGCCCATCCCCGTCTTCTGGTCCGGACCCCTTGCATCCTGAAGGCCCCCTTGCTCCCTCCCTCTGAGCCATGATTCTGATAAATGGAGAAAGTGGTAGTTCAACAGGCCTAAATTCAGCCCCCTCTCCATCTAGAAATAGGGAGGGCTGTCTGGCATCCTCACACTGGAATCTGGCAGTGCCCACGTAGCTCTAAGGAAGTAGCCCCCTACACAAGGGCTTGAAATCATGTCCACATGTCTCCTTGGAAGACATAATTCAGGGGCAAGGCTGCTCCTCCCTGCTCCAGTTCCGTGGCTGCCCATGGCCTTCCCTTGGCCTGAAGTCCTTCTTTCTCCTCTCCCCACACAGAGGGGACCTCACCCCTGATGAGGTTGTGGATCTTGTGAACCAGGCCCTGCAGGAGGGAGAGCAAGCATTCGGAGTCAAGGTCCGATCCATACTATGCTGTATGCGCCACCAACCCAGTGAGTACCATTGTACCCTGCTGGCTGCCTGGCCTAGTCACAGGGCTGCGCTTATTCTATCCCAGCATCCCCTACCCCGTGTGTCTGAGCTTTCTAAGGACACCAGTGAACTCTTGGTGGCTCTGGTGAGTCTCCTTATCAGGAAATCTAGGTCCTGACAGCCATGTGACTGACAGGAAGCCAAAGGAAACTAAACAATAAGGAAACATCCAAGACCACAGGGCTCTGTGGTTTGGCCCGGTCTTATCTAAGACCTCTTACATAGGCCTGATTTCTGAGGTATCTGGGATTCCTCCCGTTACCAACATTGGTCAAACATCCAGGGCTCAAGCTTCAACCTGCAGGGCCCATTCTGGGACCTTGGGCAAGTCACATCACCCCTCTTGAGCTTTTACACCTTGTCCTGGGATGGTCACACTCCATACCCCACCCTAAGCATTAGTGGGAACCAAAGCCAAGGGCTGAGGTGAGGTTACAGGGCTTGCTACGATAGGGCACGGCCTACATGCCTCTTCTCTACCCACGATGCCCCTGAGGGTCAAACTCAGGTCATCAGGCTTATGGCTTTCCCCACAGAGCCATCTTATAGGCCCACACTATAATAACTTGATGGGGCTCTTAATATAAAAGTGCATGGCTCATTAGCAATGAACTAGTACTCCTGTGAGTTATATGATGGGCTAAATATTAGGCTCTGTTTTCCCATTTTCTGAGTGGGGGCAAGTCTGCCATGGGTGCTGATAAGCACTGAGAGAACGGCCTGCTCACGGCCTACTGAGCCCAGCCTTTGCCTCAGCGGGCCTTTGCCATGTCCAGTGGTGGTGGTGTTCCTCTGGGAAAGGGGACTGTGAGGCTTGGGTGGGGGAGACACAGCAGTCAGGATCTGAAGACAAGACACTGGAACTTAGGTTTTCCCTGGACTCGGATGAGGGATTAGAACGGTCGGCAGGGCAGCAGCCCTACCCCCAACTGTCTGATGCTGCGCCATTGCTCTCTCCCAGGCTGGTCCCCTGAGGTGCTGGAACTGTGTAAGAAGTACCATCAGAAGACCGTGGTGGCCATCGACCTGGCTGGTGATGAGACCATCAAAGGAAGTAGCCTCTTCCCAGGCCACGTGGAAGCCTATGAGGTGGGCCCGAGAAGGGGAGAGATGGTCTTGGGGAGCTTGGGTGGTGAGCTTAGGGCCTCCTGAGTCCCCAAAGTGTGTCTTGGTCGGGGTTAGGGATTCAGAACCGGGCAGCAACAAAAGCCCCTGCATGGAGTTGGGAGAGCTGTGTTTGAGTCTGCACGTGCCTGTGATGTCCCGTGTGACTCTGGACAGAACTGCTTCTTCTCTGGGCCTCGT